AAACACCAAAAAACCAACTTCGAAGTGCGATCTACTCCAAGTTTTGAAGCAAGAGTGGGCGAAAAATCCCACAATCTAAAATTGACAAGATGATTCTCACGATGCCCCAAAGGATCAACAAACTCCACGAAGTGAAAGGAAGATCTACTAGGTATTAATTAAATATATCAATTCATGTGAATATGACTGAAAATTATAATTTTTTCTGAAAAGGTGGTGTCTATTTACTTGTGACCAAGCTGTGTATATAATCAAGTTACTATCTAATTAATAAAAGTATATTTTTGATATTTGTGGAAAGCTATATAAGGGCTACCCATGTTAACTGTTTTTGATTTGGAACTAGTTGAACAGAAAGAGGGCAGCTATTTAATAGTACCAAACAACAATCCTTATACTACTCTAATCAAATAATCACTCTTTAACACACTAAATGCTCTTAAAGTGTGGAGCATGACTTTGCAGCAGAAATGCAACCCCATACCTTAATTGGTAATAGTGTATTCTAATTGAATAAGCATAGGCTTATTATTTCACATAGGCTAGTACTTGGTATAAAAGTCTCTCTTATGCTTTGCTAGATCTAACTTGTAAGTGAAAGCAGGCCATAAGGTTAAATGTAAAAATACTTTTTCAGTAGTATCATCTTAGTTATAAAAAAAAACAACTGTAGAAATTTAAGTATAAAAAAAATCAAATCTTACAGTGGATGATTTATATTATCTTATCAGTTGGGTATCCTTGCTAATAAAAATGATTTAAGCTACAAATCCATAACATCCAGCCTTTGGAGTATAATGAGATATTCATTTATAAAGCATCCCCTTTGAGTGCAAGGTTCATAGAACACATAATTTGGCATAATTTTTCTGTTGTTGACTGTGTAAGACTGTGAGTAGTTGCAACCAAAGACTAAAATTAAAATGTTGTGTTCATGAATGGATCATCAGATCATTTCTGTCTCAGTTATTTTAGTTATACTTGTTTTTGGTATTTTAAACAGCTTGTCTGTTGAATAATTCAGAAGCATGAGTTTGTAACATCAATACTACATATTCTTCAAATCTTATATAAATATAGGTCCAACGTGGAGCAAAAAAGACAACTCAAAACACTAAAGATATAAAAATACACCTTCCTACATTGACAAATATGAAAACTACTTATGAATGTTTGTTACAAACATGTAAACTTAAGAGCTTAAGATTTAAGAACTTAGGCCATATATATCATGATAATGTTTATAAAACAATATTTTAGTGAGGTAGCAATTCAGTGGTAAATAAATCCATATTATCAAACATATTCATCACTTCAACTAAAATATACGCATATATTTATATTGATGTAGTTTAATAATTTATGGGTCTAAATATTTTTAAGTGTAATTCACATCCTTAAAATAGATTCCAGGGCATTTCAATGCAACAATAGCTTTTTCTGGATTTCCAAGGCTAATTTTTTTTAATTCCAAGAACTTTCAAGACTGGTAAAAACCCTGCTCACAAGTATTGGTCTGGTTAGCACACTTACGTTAGGCTTAACCATTATCTTAAGACACTAATGGAAACTATCCATACTATACTTGTTTATATTTGTGATTATATAAGTATACAAGATTTAAAGTGAGCTTAAGTCATCAAACTAAAGTAGCAGTGATAAATGTTTTATGTCAGATTGTTTATAATCAGTTAAAACAATAGCAAAGTACAATTAAAATTAAATAATACAAAACAGAAGTACAAAAATTATAATTACTTCAGTGTATATCAAACAGCTTACGGTAATACTGAAAGTGGGCCTACACAGTCATATCATAATCATTCCATTGAAAATAGCAGTACTGGTTTTCATGCTTTCACTAAACATTTTTCAAAGTGTACTAGTTAAACATGATCTTGTTAACACAAAAGGAATGGCACATGAGTGTCAAAATAAGCTGTTTCATAGAGATAAAAAACCTCATTCGAAATTATATTAGGAATTATGTTTTTTAAAAGACAGTGCTAGTGAAACATAGATGTATCTAACATTTAACATTTCAAAAGATAATTCTATTGGTGATTTAATTATAGTTGTGTTCTATAGCAGCTTATAAACAAACGTAACAAAGAAGATCATATTGAAATACACACAAATAGAAATAACAAAACTAGTTAACTAGAAAATTAGTCTTTCTAATAAGTTATTGTATCTTTAAAAATAATGTACCTCGTCACATATATTAAAAATTGACGAATACCTTTTTCACCATTTGTGTTGTTTTCTCTTCACTGCGAGGTTTCTTTGGCATTGGTTCTCCACTTTCTCCATAGACTGGCTGTTCTATTTTAACTGGTATTTCTCTGTAAGGAAAGAAAAACCAATAATTTACACAGTAAATAAACATGTTTAAATTATATCAACACAAACATATGATGTTACACCACAATTCCTGATACTTTATTCTACAAAACTCACCTTATTTATCAATAACTACAGTGAATGTATCAATATATAGAATTTATACCAATATTATCACGCAAGTACTAACAGTTAACAGAAAAAATGTATTCTTAATGTTTACAAGTACAAATAAAAACTATGTACATTTACAAGCATATTTATCACACAACATCAATTAAAAAGGAAAAAAAAATGTATACTAATAATACAAAACGAAAATGCATTTTAAAATGTACCTGTCTTACACCTGGATATTTTTTTTGCCACTCAGCTTGAACTTTTAACTAAAAAAAGCAGAAACTTATAACAAATTCTAGAAATTTATGAGTGAAGGCAAAGAAGAATATGTTATAATAAGTCAATCACACTACATCTGCCACATCTAGTACTTGATAAGGCCTTTTGTCCAGTACCAGGGCTCATCAGGCTGGCTAGGATATGATGTCTATATAATTTTATAAGACTGAGAAAATGTACGTAATATTTTAAGTAGTTCCAGTTTTAAAGCATACTATTTTTTGTTAAATATTCCATAAATATTTCTAATTATACCAAAAATGATAGTTTCTAAATACTTGGAGATAACTGTGATAAAGAATAAAGTACAAATACATAACACAATTATATAAGCATTGCCAAGATTTGTATAAATCTAAAGATAAACAAAAAAAGCAACATATTTAATAACTTTAAATTATAACAATAGTGTCTGAGATTTCATAAATTTTTGAGCATACAGAATAATGACTTAAATTCTACATATTTCTTTTCCAAAAATCATATATACCAGGAAAGATAATTCAGTAAAAATATTTGTTTCATTTGAATTTCACGCAAAGCTACATGAGGGCTATCCGCTGCTGGTCATCACTAAATTAACAGTGATAGACTAGAAGGAAGGCAGCTAGTTAACACCACCAACTCTTTGGCTTCTCTTTAACCAATGAATAGCGGAACTGACCGTCACATAATAATGTTCTCACAGCTGAATGACCGAGCATATTTGATGATGAGGATTCACACCTGTAACCCTCAGATTGCGAGTTGAGCACCTTAACCACCAGGCTATGCTAGGCCCAGTAAAAAAGACGTGAGGGAAAATTTTGCACTTGGGTTGACATAACTCCAAGGTTAATGGAACCTTTTTCTTAAACCTTTCATATAGGAGTTTAATTGTGAAAATATTACTAGCAGAAGAGTAAACAGAGAAAATACACATGGCACATCTCATTTTGTTTGCCTGTATGTTAAAAAAGTAAAAAGTCTAAAATAACACTAATAGTTTTATAAGACTGGGAAAATGTAGGTAATATTTCAAGTAATTCCTGTTTTATCAATTATCTGTTTCAAAATTCAAATCAAAATATTTTAATGAAATAATCAGCTTTTGAAATATTTATTAAAGTTCAAACTTCAAAGGATTATACAGTGAAAGCTTAAAATCATCACCAAATGTGCCATTATTCAAACCTTCCAAAAACCAAAAAGTTAAAACAGAGTATGACAACAAACTCACAGGACTTTTTCTGAAACCTATTCTATTTCTCAATACATGGTGCAGCTTTAGTGTCGTGTTACACTACATAACGTAACACTGGTTGTCCCCGAGACCTCTGTAGTAACTACAAAGTTTAAATACCTGAAAACAGCTTACTTGTAAAACAAAACAAAACAAAAAATCATAATCTGATTGACTTCAGAGAATTTAAAAATTATAACATTTAGATTTATATCTTTCAACATAGCATTTGAAAATGTGTAATACAAATAATTCAATTACAAAAAATTACTAATGTTGTGCTTAGAAATTCAAAAAAATCTAAGTAACAGCTCTGACAATGTAATTTATTTTTAAAATGAGTAAAAACATTTTCCCCATAGTATGTGAGGCTGAGTCTCAAATCAGAATTGCCAATGAGAACTCCGTCTCTAGTATTTGAGATTTAGCAATTAATAAAAGAAACTATATAAGCAAAAGTACAGTTCAAGATATTTTTAGTGATAAAACTTTCCCCCTATGTTTTACTTAATTTGGGTATTAGAAAAATTCAAAACATAAGTAAGTAAGTATTAAAAATAACAAAAAAGGATGTATGTAATACCTTTCCAAAATGAAAATTTTTTTTGCATAGCTATAAGTTGATAAAGCATAAATTTCATGTTAAAAACAAAAAAAAATCTCCTACTTACTCTACAAATGTGTGCTGTTTTCCAAGATCTGTAAAAACATAACCAAAGAAGCCCCACACACCTCCACAATAAAATTTTATGTTGTGTTTACGACATGTATTGTTGATGAAAAAAAGAACATCAAGGGAATAATATCCAGTCAGACAAACCACATCAAATGTTTTAAAGAATTCTTCTCCTTTATCTTGAATACTGTCTTTGTCTACTACAACATTCACTCTTGGATTCAGCTGCTGAGTGTGTGAAAGGGAAGACTCTGCTCTCTACAGAAAGAAACATGAGAGAGAATAAGTACCACATTGTACATGTATACCCACCAATTTCACTTATAAAATCAAACACCAAGTGCATTCTGAGATTTAAAGGATGATTTAAACAATAAAAAATCTTGTGGATTACTTAAGTCAAGATTGTAATTTGTGGGATTTCAGATTGAATATCAACAAAAAAAGAATATAACTTTCTAGTGCATAATGTTTAAATAAGGTTAAAAAATGATGTTACTTGTTTAAAGCATAATGTTTATTGTTAAATATTCTATAATTATTTCTAATTACACTGAAAAGTATAGTTTCTAAACACTTGGAAATAGCTGTCATAAAGAATAAAGAACAAATAAATAACATAATTATATCAACATTGTCAAGTTTTGTATAAATACAAAGATAAAAAAAAAAAACAACACAACCACCTTACTCTCTTCTGAATGGAAGTGAACACATTCAGGAGGACTTTTCCATGGCCTTCCACCCCAGCAGCTCAAAACTGGAAAGCGACAAGGACTCTCATACTCCACTAGAAGAACAAGGGGGGATAAAACACGGTGGAGAGTCCAGAGGAATGCCAATGCTGGAGACAGTGCAACGGGAGACCACTAAAACCCTATTCTGAAAAACAGACCACCCCCTGATTTATTCAATCAAAGGAATGGCAGGGATGGGCAGCTATCCCCTTCTGCTTTACCCATATAAATCCTATGCATTAGTATATTCTGGAAAAGGCATATTAATGAAGCAATAATGTCGTGAGAGAAACATTCTCTCAATATTTAGATATAGGAAACATACTCCTACAGGCAATGCTTGCCACTGAGCAGGACCGGAATCCTAAGTGGGACATGCCCATGGAGGGAAAAATATATACAGAAAAGGTAACTTACCCAGTCATGGCTGCACCAAAGTTTAAAGGATTGCAATAGTCAGAAGGCAGTATCCCAATGAGGAAGAAACAGCTACCCAATGAAGACAGATAGTGGGAGATGACTGAAGAGTTTCCTCTAATGGATAGCAAAGATGAGATTAAAGGAAAAAAAGGAAGGTGCCCAACTGTAGACTCCACACATGAATCCTAAGACTCTGGAAAATCTCCAAAAACAAACTACTGGAGAAAAGGAACCATCCAGAAGTCACGAAGATAATGGGAAGTTAGATGAACCTGTGAAAAGACAGTGTCCCTCCCAATAAGTTCTCAACAGCAAGAAAACCATGTGTGAAGGGAAAGGGGTTGAAGAGGACAATAGTGCCAAGGAGAAGTAAGGAGGGAAAGTGTATCCCTCAAAAACCCCTCTGGGGATTGGTGAAGTGTCTCAGAAAGAAGGTGTATGTTGAACAAGTACTGGAGGAGAGCTGTAAGGGTAAGACGAAGGTGTGAAAATCGACATGAGAGAAATGTATAGGATTATCAGGGACAGTCCCCCACATGAGCAAAAGGGACACCAACTGCTGGGAATTGAGAGGGTTGATCAGCTTGCTGATAAGCCAAAGCATAATGATCAGAGGTCCATGGAGGACTCAGCATAAACATTGATATCAGGAAAAGGAAGGAAAACAAGGAACGCTAATGACACGAGTCATTTAAAAAAAAGAAAGAAATCAGTATTACATGGAATCGGTGAAAATGGAACACATATGAGAAAGCATATCCACTGCTATTTACTGCTATAGCCCTTTGTGCCACCCTTTTACAGTGTCACAGCATGTGGTCTAAACAATTACTAATGAATCTCAGCTTTGAGAATAGCTAGAGTCAAAAGATAAATATGATTGGATATAGCATGTGTTATATTTGTCTATGTCAATGTAAAGTAAATATAGTAGTTTGAGCATTAATTGATGGTTTCTTGATATACTTGCTATCCAAAGATGCTTTTGGAGTGAACAAAGTTATCTAATGGGAATTTTGGAAGACCTAGGTAACAACCAAAGACACTGACATTTTTTTATAGTTTCATTAGATGCTCTTTTCATTCTAAGTGTTTTTGTGTTAATTTATAACTGTTTGAAAGATAAAGAAAACTTCTTTTATGACATCAATTAAGCTTAGTTAGGTTTAGTGAGTAGGGTAAGCAATGGCAACTTGTTCTGACAACTCAAATGCTTATTTATTGAACATTATTGTTAAGTTTATTATATTCAAACACAGCACACATATAAAATAACTGATAATTCACTGAAAAAACTATTATATTTTGATCCATTCTGAAAGGTGTGGTTCTAGTTCACTGATAAATCTTTATTAACTTTTGCCATGTTCATTATGATTTACACCCAGAAGTGGTGATTACTGCAATAAAAAAAGGAAAGCATCAAAAGAAACATTACTGAATATTAATCATATTGAAACTATATGGATAGATAAAATGAAACCTTCTGATCACTAATAAAAAGAAAAAATTAAATTCTAAGATGAAAAGAAGAATTTGAATGTTTTTTCAAAACAGCATCTTACAATAAAATTTTGGACATTTCACAACCTAAAAAATGATACACACACACTAAATCAAATCATATAAATTCTTTCAGTAGAAATTATTTAGTATGTTTGTACTAAGTTTCATACAATTTAGTTAGGAATCTCCAGTATGAAAAGAAAAAAATCTGGGAATATTATCAAACCCCCTCCAGTCCAGAAATGATTAAATACAATTTTCTCAACTATTTATGTATTAAATTATTTTTGCATCTCTGACTTTGTTGTTTACAGGGCTCCTAATAATAATAATATGAATCACACACACACACACAAAAAATTAAAGAAATATACTATCAATATTGTAATTAACCCATTCATTGCGGCTGGGATGTATATTTCCTAGTGCTCCCACCCCCTCACACTGTGACTGGGACAAATGTTTCCCATTGTCGATGATGTTTACAATGTCCTTTGCTGAGTCCAGGTTCATCATCAATCATTTGAACACCACTTGACTCACTTTCACTATCTTCTAAGCTATCTGAGTCAAGTGCATTAGGCATATTTACATAGTAATTAGGGTTACTACTTGCCACTCTAGCGATGCAGGCACAGTTGTCGTACATTCCGCTTAGGCATTTTGTTGGTTACTGAAGGGCTGAGTGGAAAACATTGTGGAAAACCATATATCAGCATTAGGTGGGATGCAAATAAATACTTTCCAACTCATTTTACTCCCATATGTCATGTACAGCAATTTTGAATGGCAATGGGAAACATTTGTCCCAGTTGCAGTATGATGGGGTGGGAGCATTGGGAAATATACGTCCCAGCCTCAGTGAAAGGGTTAATAAGCTAATTACTGCTTGGATTTCCTATTTATTTTCCACAGAAAATGAGTCATTTTACCCTTTCTTTTACCAGTTCTTTGCACTGAGCATTCTAACAGTCAAAAACATAAAATTACTCAGTATGATATAATGTGAGGACAACATCAGTAGAAAATGATGTTCATAAAAATGAATTACTAGCTTGTGAATAAATAAGCACCACATATACTTACATTTTTACCAAGATCTTCTCTGGACAACAGAAACTGAGAAGTGTAATCCAGTTCTGATACCTTTGACAGAAGTATTATACATGTAATTAGTTAATAAAAGCAAAAACAAATTTTAAGATTTAACTGAATATAATTAAGAACAACCACATAAAATTATAACATTTAACTGAATATAATTAAGAACAACCACATAAAATTATAACACTTAACTGAATATAATAAGAACAACCACATAAAATTATAACATTTAACTGAATATAATTAAGAACAACCACATAAAATTATAACATTTAACTGAATATAATAAGAACAACCACATAAAATTATAACATTTAACTGAATATAATTAAGAACAACCACATAAAATTATAACATTTAACTGAATACAGTTAAGTATAACCTCCTAAAATAAGAAAGCAACTATGATGCTAATAGCAGTAGAATAATCTTAAATCAAATCATCTTTTAACATTTCCAGGTTGTTTGTATAGCTGTAACAATACATTAGTTCAGGATATAAAATATAAGGTGATACATGGATCACAATACAATACAACATTGCTTGATCTGGGCAGAGCAACAAACTGTGGGGGGTAATCAGTTTATTATGATTAATGAATGGATTAGGATTCGACATCTTAATGAAGACCCCACCAAAGCAGTCCAAGTCTACACTTCAGTAGCCATTATTTTGATTGGGCCAAGTTTATCTGTATACATGCAACAAAAACCAGGGATCAAGAAAACACGAAGTGCTGACAGACAAGTACACATGACTCCCCGAGATGGATGACTGGTACTGATGCGCCCATGTATTAAGGGATCTACAATACAGTGGTCACAATATTATATGTATACATTGTGTGTGTGTGTGTGTGGGGGGGGAGTGATGTATTGGTGCATCAGCAAATCATTACAACATTACCTTCTTGTACATGAAGTTAGTTTATCAAAACTCTTACTATGACAGTCTTTATCTTTTGTTTTTTGAAGGGTTAGGATTTGGTATCTAGAATCTCATCTGATGAACTTAATGCAAAATTTTCATCCGTGATAATTTTTTATGGTTTTTAAAAAAGAAATCCTCTTAAATCCAGAATTTGAGTTTTTTAAGTGAAAATATACACCATCAAGAACATTTTTAATAAAGACATACACAGTAAACATATACAGGTAGGATAATACATTACTTAGTGTTAAGCACAAATGTTTTTTACTCTTTGAATACATCTGAACCACCAAACTCTGGTTTTTGTAAGGAGCATGTATAAATGTAGTTAAAGATCAAGTAGAGACAAAGAGTTTATAAGCAGCATAAAGCTTTAGGACAGACAATCTGAAAGTTAAAAGTTACCTTATATATATATGTAGAGAGAGAGAGAGAGTAAGAAGGATTGTTATCAAAATGAAAATGTCTATAAGTAAAAAAGAAATAGAATGAACAGAACAGAAATGTTGTGTAAAGTATACATTTCATATAGAAGGTTATCTCAAGAAGGTGGAAGTCTGGGAGCCATCAAGAATTCAGTGGCTAGTAAAGTGATGATACTAAAAAGGTAGCTGCCTATTTTCTCTAATTCCTAGTAAAATTCATTTCTCTCAAATTAATTACAATAATTCATAGAGCAAATGTCTAAAATATAAAAATCTGTCATTACCACTTTGCTTACCATATCAAAATGACAGTTTTGAAAACAGTTATCTAAATAGACAAACATTTTTGAAACGAATACAAACAAACAGCTGTTTTTTATAGCCTAATAATAATTTTGAAACAAATGTAAAGAACAGTTACAACACATCTTTATAATTACTTAAAGGGATATGAATGATATAATTAAAAACTTTTGATTTTAATTTTGCTTTAGAAAACAATGAATTTTAGAAAAAATTTAAAAATAAAGAATAGAACCTTTAGATGTTCAGAGTGTACTTCATTTATGAAGAGTAACTGATATATATGTAAATAGTAAAATATGCTCTTCAATTATAAAGAAATAAGAGGATGCACTGGATGTAAACTTACATTATGATGATCAAGTAAAGTAACAGAATGGATCCCAGCAAGAACAAGGTTTTTGGTCACCTCAGCTCCAAGACCACCAAGTCCAGCTATTAAGACTTTTGCTGCTCGTAACCTGTAATTTAGTTTACAATTGATATTATGTACAATGTTCAAAATAATTATGAATGAGTTCAAACAGTTTTACATTTCTACTCTGTATGATATATTTTGCTTTACATAAATTAAGATTAAACTGGACTGAAAGTGTAGACCTTTTCCTTTTTGTGCATGTGCCAAGCCTAATATAACCACCATTAGACTAGTGGGGGGGGGGGGGGGGTACACTGTCAGAGTACTTTTAGTTGCCATTTAAGGAAATTAAGACATTTTCTGTGTAAGAGATTCTGAACCTCAGAAGGTTTGAGAAATGAAAATTCATATTTAAGAAGATCCATGAAACTGAATTTTTTAAAGTATAAATATAATTTCAACTTTTTTTCTTCTTTTTCAATGTATTCCACTAACAACGAGGGATGCATTCTGGCCATGCCCGATGAGAATGATTTTTTTCTGTCCATTTTACTTGGTAATTTTCATACTGCTAAATTTCTAACACAGGATTAATGATGATGGGGGTTATTCCTGTCAAAGAAACAATACCACAGATTCTAGATTATGTGTTCCTAAAGTTTACGGTTTGATTAAGAAAATAAATCAAAGTAACATAAGAAAAGATGATAATTCATACCAGAATTCCTTGAATTTTTAAGACATTTCCAAATTTTGAGTTTTGAAAAATAATATTTGGCTTTCTCTTATTTTTAAGATATGCGGGGTGATTAACCCTCTTGATACAGGTGAGTCAAAGTGCACATGTCAGAATTACATTCAAAATTTAATTAAACTACTTTATTATCATTGTACAAATAAACTTGGCATCACAGCATAGCTCATAATTCATATTTTAATATAAGTTTTAAGTTCTTAATTTTATAAAAAACATTAATTAATTTCCCTAAGTATAAGAATTATAACATTTGCTCTCTAGATCTTCCCTCCTCTTTAATCTATTTACCACCTCTCCAAGAAGTAAAAAATATAATGTAAATTACTCATTATAATATACACATTACTCAGGCAAAACATAATTTTTATAGCCTTCATTCTTATTTGTTTACAGAGCCATAAACTAGAAAATCAGACCCACTTGTCATGCCCACCTGTAACATCCTCTCTTTCATAAATTGCCAATAATTCTCTCTGATGTTTTATACTATATTGTTTATAATCAATAGAAAGCCAAAGTTTTGATCTATCAATTGATGTACTATATATTACATTGTTTTCTGTACAAAGAATTGTCTGTTTCCTGATTCAGTTACAAATTTATTCTCACAGGAATCACATTGAAAAGCTTAGCTGAAGTTTTAAAGGCTCTTATCACACAGTTAGAAACCCAGAAAAATTCTGATAGTTATACAACATTGCTTGCTTTGTGCCAGTTATCTTAGGTGCAATATTTATTAAATAAAAAATTATTTAGTGTAGTAATACCATTAGTATAAAAAATAGTCTTATGTTTCATCAAAAGTCAACAGAAAAAGAGCCAGGTAAGTACTATATTTCATGTTTCTTATATGTATTCTTTATACATTATTATAAAAGTAACGAAAATGTAAAAATTAGAAACTTATAAGGTTAGATAAAAAATAAATAAATAAAAATACATTTAATGCTTTGTTGGAGTATGGCTAACCTACTGTGCAAATGAAAAAAAGAGACTGTTATAATGCATGAACTTACTCCTCACATTACCATCTACCATCGTTGCTATGTAATTTAAGCCCCCTTTTTCTGAAATCTATTTTGTTAACATGTGATTTGGAAATTAAACACTTTAATTGATAGGTAATTGAGGTCAATTTTATGTTTACATGTAACTGATGCATTAGGGTAAAGTATCATGCTCAAGGGCCTAACAACATGTTGCCAGCATATTATGCATCAAATATAACTGCAATTTATGCTAAGTTGTATGTGTAATTTACATACTGAAAATTTAGTTCATAAGTATCACCAATATATTTGTAAACTGACAAGTTGGCTGAAAAAAACATACTTACTCATTAATCGATGACGAGGAACCCACTTTGAGACTAATAATGGCTGGAGACGGCTTGAATGGGTAATGAAGAAAAACTTTAATATAAGTTTAACAGCAAATGTACAACGTTTCGACAAGGTTTTGTCATCATCAGGTACCTGTACATTTGCTGTTATGCTAAATTATATTAAAGTTTTTCTTCATTACCCATTCAAGCCGTCTCCAGCCATTATTACACTTACTCATTAGTCATCAAATTAATATATATGACAATCTATAATCTCTCTTTTGTTTCAGTAAATTGCCTTACCATACTCAAGTTATAATTTTCTTGGGTAACAATACACAGTTGAAAAGACCTTAAGTTTGCATTATACAAGTTGCACAAACAATTTAAATTGTAATGCAGTGTTACGCTTTGCACCTCATATACGCAAGTCTCGCCTTGGACCCGCAACCTTCGAACTACGAGTCCAAAGCATTAACTATTAGTACTTGACCATGCTGCACCAGTTATAATATTGTTACAGTATAAATTGGTAATAATAACTTGTTAGAATTTGTTCAGTTGGCCTAACATTTTATTTTAAGCATAGAAGATATTGTACAGTAATCACTACAGCCTACGACTCACTGTTCAGTTCAGCTTGAGTTGATATGACAAAGAACAAACTGAAACAGTGAAGACAGTACTGTTAGAAACGTATATATAGTCGATCACATTTACCACAATGTACGATCTATTAAGAAAGGAAAACCATGTTTATGCGACACACTGTTTACCTTTTTTGAGCATCTAAGCCCCAAAGTCTTATCTGCCTGTCATACAAAGCAGCTTCTTCTGCCGTAAACTCATTCTCAACCATTTTGACAGTGCCGCCTGCTAATTTGCTAAGCCCACATGTTACTAGAATGTAATGTTTTAATTTATGAAAATAAAAAACAAGTAAATTGCTTCATATGTAGAATTTTACTTATTAACAAATATTATCAATAATATATAGGTTTACAAATAACAATATTAAAATTTTCGAAAAATTTAGTGGTGGTATTAAAATGTCATTATTTTTTAAAATAAATATATGTCAATTTTTGCTCTTCGTACATTACACTGCATGAGTATGAGTAATAGCACGCACAGAAAACTTAAAACATAGCTTTGACACGTGAACTTTCACAAATTTACACCACGAGTTTAGTATTACTATTAGAGTATTTAAAATAAACGGGTTCTGAAAATAATGGTTTTGTTAGAAAATGAAACGGTAAGCGTTATTTTTGTATAATCGATGTATTAATGTTTTAATATTGTCCCACTTTTATTTAAATCATCGGTTAGATATACAGATAGTGAGATACTTCATATATAAATTATACTATTACTAATAGTATTAGTATTATATAATTATAATAATAAAGTAGTTTGCTGAGTAACCCATTTATGTTTTAGTTTTACCATTACAATTAGCAGTTAGATTTACTGATATTAAAAATATATATCAAGTTCTTACTTTAAAGCAACTGTGCAGTTTTAACCCTTTTTTTTCGAATGCCATATTTTCTACATCAGCTTTTTACATTAGCTATCTTTCCATGTATGTAATACTAATACATTATCAACTTGTAAATCATAAGCAAAACAAAGACAAAATAAAAGCATATTGGAACTATATTGGGTGACCTTAGATTAGAATTTAGATTACTAACAAATTAATGTTGCTGCCATTGACGGGGATGTAAACCTTACTACCTACACAGGCAATTTAGTCTAATAGTTGTGCTGCTGTCTTGTACATCTGAGGTTGGAGAATTTTTTAAAGCTGTGACTGTTTGTTACATTGTAAGGGAAAATACTATTTCGAACCTTGACAGTGAATAGAGAAATTTAATTGTGCTGACTTCCAAGAATGGGAAGTTAGTTTGAGAGAGAAAGGTTAGGTGGCTAATCTAAATGGAGAGAATGCTGATGAAGCTTGTTATGCTTTATTAATATTAGTCAAAGGAATGTATTTATCACTAACTTTTATGTCCCATCTGAAACCTTTTTTTCTAAATGAATGATTAGGAAACTGAACCTCTTAAAAGTAAAAATGAATAGCTATAATAATAACATAGAATTCATTTGTGAAAGAGAGGATACTTAAAAGTGCTTGGCTCATTTCACCAAATTTCACTTGGAGATTTTTTTATGCCTACTTAGAAATTAGAGCTATCTCAATTTTCTGGCAGATTATCTTCAAATGCCTAAATGTCACAGTTTTCACTTTGTTGATAATCTATACTTTTTACCTCTATTAAATACTATGAGCCTTTGAGAACCGTGAATTATAATTTTTTTTAACTGAGTAGAGAAGTCATATGGCTGAGAATGACTGAGCATTGCCATTTGCTTCTTCCTTTGAAGATGACTACAAGGAAGGCTGCAGCATACAACATTATGTTACTATTTCATAAATTACTTAGCAAGTGATTTTGTACCTGTCAAACACATAGATAGTTGATTTTAAATAGCAGGTATTTGTTCATAGTCAGTGTTTGATTTTCTTATCAGGAAGTAAATCAAGAATGAACAGTTGTCCAGAATTTTATGATAAACTCCTGACCAATAAAAAATTGCTCAAAAAAATTCATTCATCATAGATATATCTATAAAAATAATAATCTAAGTAAAAATATTCATTTCATTTGATGATATTTATTATTTGCATAAAGGGAGTGTTCTAGTTTTAAGATCTAATGAGTACCTAACTCATCAGAGTTAGATGTAAGAGGAGGGGGTTTCTTTATGTAGTTTGGAATAGGGTGGTAGTAGAAAGTGGAATAACTTAGATGTTGTTATTTGGAAATATAAAGTACAAACAGTTTATAGAATGAACTTATTCTTTGTAGAACATGGATAGGAGAAGCTTGAATTAGGTGTTTATACTGTTAAGGTTTTATTCAGGCTGCCTCTGGATTGTCTGTTTTAATGGTGGAATGATAAAGTTTGATCAAAATTGAAGCTTGAGCATTAGGAAAGTTTAAACTTTTGAAACCTAGGTGCATTCTTATTATATGATATAATTTCTTTTCAGTTAGTTACAAACTTGTAGAATGGTTTGTTTGATATGTACACATTTACTTGGATTTATTTTAAATATCCCTTGTATCTATGGTTATGAAGATCTCTGCATCTAGTTAAGTTGAAAAAAATAGTTTTTTGAACAGGAGTATTCTTACTGGGCTGAATGACCTTCTATCACTGTAATTTTTCTGATATCTTTTATTCTTATTTTGCATGAATCCACAGGAAAAAGCTTTTATTTTCTTTCTAGTTTGTTTCTCCCTTTACCTTAACTATTACTTTTTTTCCTTTTTTTTTCACAAAATTTCAAACTCCATTCTTTGTAATATTCAATATCAGAGGTACAGAAATTAGGTAATGTGTTAATTTGAATGGAGTATAATCTTGTGTATATCATATACCCTCTTCTCTCGTGTTTTAAGATATGGCATATCTACCCCCACTCTGGCCTGAGTAGAGATCTTGCTTTTACTCTGTTTTCTGTGTGTGTGTGTGTGTGTGCATATAAAGTAACTCATATTTTTATAAGATTTTGATCAAATTTGATATAAAGGTTTAGTTTTCTTCAAAGATCAGTTGATTAACCTTTAGTGAGTGTATGTCAAGGTCATATAAAGTTCAACCACTTTCTTTTTAATGGAAGGCAATTAGGAATTTGAAAAATGGCCAATCTTGAGAACTAGAGGATATTGACATCTAGACGATGATTTTTGAGGGAGAGGAATTGCTTGGTGTATATTTTAGTTTGATTACTGCAAAAGTAAAAAACATTGCAGGGCAGATGTTGCATTCTCAAGTGCTTTACTAGTTGTAGTTTTTGATTGGGTAATGAGAATGAATGTTGTTTATCTTCATATGTACATGTACAGCCAATCAGTTGTTATTACTTGCATTTTTTCATGGTGTTTGACTGAGTCTGTGCTTGTGTTTCTATTATTTATTCAATATTTTGTTGAATAAAGATTTTAAAATTCACTTGCCCCAGTGACCCATTCTTAACACATCTAGAATGGATTTGATATTTTTCTCTAGTGGCTTTAGAATATAAAACATACACAACCAATCAAAATATCAAAACCAAATTAAATGCAGATATTCAAGTTCATCAAGGTATCCAATAAAGAGTGAAGGAATTCAAAATTCTGATAGCACATGCCACATTGTTATACTACTTCATATCAAGCTTCATAGGGGGCTCATGGTTACCTAAAATATTAATTTAGAACCTCTACTCACCCAAAGCTAACTCAATCCTGGTTTGCCCTTTAAGCATTGTTAAAAATATTTTTGCTGACAGCACACCAGTCTTTTATATCCCTTCATTTTTGTACCATTTCAGAACGTGCTGATCATAATATTGTGCCATCTATAGTAGTGCAGCTATCTCCCTCTATTATTCTAGTACAATCCTCACTATCTCGATTGGCATTCTAGTGTATAGTCGTGTGTTTTAACTCATTCTCCATGAGACTACAAAATTTTGATTTTGCTTGATTACAAATTTATATCAGTTTCAACTTTTGTTTGATTTTCATTGTTTCTACTTATTTGTTTTAGAAATATTTCTGTTTTCTGAATTATAGTTTGTTCATATGAATTTGAGATTTATTGTGGCGAATGATGAAATTCCTGTGTTAGTAGAAATTGGTTCTGACACGACTCTCAGAGTCAACGATGTGTGCTGGGGAAGAACAGGCTTTAACCCGATGACTACCAGCTACTAACTTCATTCAAGTTTAACTGTTTCCTTTTTTAATAGAACAAGAATTTTTTTCCTGCCTACCCATTATGAATTCTCAAGTAATGGTAATTTCTACTTTGTCCTGTGAAGGTGACTTTGTTACTAACACAGGACCTATATCAACTGTGGCATGCCATTGTTCAATGAGTTGTTGGTTGTCTCATGCATACAGGGCTTCCTTCTTTCATCCATTTGGCTGATGTTCCTTTTCCTCGGTTTGAACCTAACCAGGATGACAATGATTATGACCAGCTGTTTTTTCCACCAGGGTTTACTGTAGAGACTGCTTTACTAATGGAAGAAAATCCTCACCCTTCTAATCTTTTTCTTGACAGATTTTGTAGGTATGTCCTTAGAACTCTCCTTTTTTACTGTATTTCAATTCCTTTTGTTCTTTACCACACAAAACCTAGACTCAAGATTACTTTGTCTTCTCTCCTTCTCCTGATATTATAGTCCATTTGGATACATTTCTTGAACAGCTGGGCACCCATACTCACATTCCTTACCCTTCTCAACTGCTTGACTCTTTTGTCATGGCTTACAGCCATTCTTCATTTCCCTTCTTTGATTCACACTCTTTAGAATATCTTTTACCTTCTTAGGGTGATAGGAGGTGTGGTGGGGTGGACTCCTTAACTTTTATTTCACTTTCTAGTGCTCAATTTTCATACTTTTGTCTCTTTCTTATAACCCTTTTATTTTATGTCTCATCACTTCTTATTTCTTCATCATGCTCCTAAAGGATTTTCTGGAAAGGTTTGTTCTCTTCTTCTCACCACCTTATCTTGTTCTATTTCTTCTGCACCATCCCTTCTTACTTGTTTTCTCTGCTCTTGGGATTGTTGGTTCAGGTTGCTATCCTAACAAATGTTTACCTGCCTCCCTTATCTCCCTGATCTTTGTTAGGCATCTTTTCTTCACCCAGAGATCTTCAGTAGTGTTCCTGATTCTCTGGAAACCTGGACCGAGATAGCCTGGTATCAGTTCTCAATGTCTTCTTTGGTTGCTCATCTTTCTCAACCTTGCTTTTCTGTTCTTAGGCCTGCTCAATCTACATATCCCATTCCTGCTTCCCGTTCTTCTTCTTCCTGCCCTCCCACTTCACCATGCCAAGGTCGTTACTCGTCTTGTTGTTGACTATCCTGTCATTTCTGGCCCAGTAGGCCCTTGTCTGTCTCACTTTGTCAACCTTTGATCTCAATTTTCAGTTGACAATTTAGTTCTTCAGGTTCTCACCCAAGCCTATCCCTCCATTTCTCTTCTTCTCCTCTCTCCTCCATCTGACCCCATTTATCTTCAGTATCTTGAGGATGTGGTCTTAGATCTCTTAGCCAAGAATGCCATCGAGAGTATTTACTCCTACTCTAGGATATTACTCTCATCTCTTTGTGGTCCTCAAGAAAACCTGGGACTGGCATCTGGTTATTGACCTGTTGTCTCTCAACCAGTTTTTAATTCTCCCATGATTCAAGATAGAGGTTTTCTTTCTGGTGATCAGTTTTACCCAATCTGTGGATGACCAAGGTCAATATATCGGATATTTTTTACACATTCCAATTGCCCCATCCTACAGACATTTTCACTGCTTCATCTCTCAGAATCAAGTATTTTAGTTCCATGCTCTTCCCTTTTTAATTGCTTCTGCTTCTTATGTCCTCAGTTAAGTCATGGGGCATTCACCCACCATATTCATGGATTAGGGCTGAGGTTCCTTTATTAAATGGACAGTTGGCTTCTCTTTGCTCCTTCTCAGAAGGATTCCTCTCATACTTCCATTTTTCAGCCTGAGCATGCGCATTAATTCTCACCTCAGTTGGGCTTAGCCTTCATCTCGTTACCTGTGAGCAATGGAATGTCTCGTTATCAAGATTTTTGCTTTTCATTTATGCCTGTCTTGTGAGGTTCTTTCATTTTGGGGGACTCTGGCTTTACTAAAACTATTCATTCCTTTAAGGCCGCACCTTTTGCAGTGGACAATGGAAGACCAGTGGAATCTTTCTAGGGATCATTTGTCCTCAATAGTAAGCTGCCCCCTCTTCTCTTCTTGGGGATTTGTCTTGATGGCTCAACCATGCCAATGACTTACTGGGTATCCCCTTTCCCCCTCAATTGGATCTCCATCTTTTCACAGATGTTCCTTTGTTGGGCTGAAGCACATTTTTGAATGATAACATGACTTTGAGCAAATGGCCATGTTCCTATTTCCTCTCTCTTCTCATGGATGGGTTGGTCATGATCCACTCAAACAATTTCATGGTTGTTTTTTATATCAACCATCAGGGTGGGGGTACCCATACCAAGACTCTTTGTTTCCATGCTTTGGACCTGCTATTTTTGGTTCATTGTCATTGGGTATGTCTCATAGCTTGTCATGTTCCAGGAGCTATGAACCTGATATCAGACTGGATTCTACCCACGTAGTGGTCTCTCCACCATCAGGTTTTTCTTTGGGTTTGCTTTCAGTTAGGCAAAACCCTCATTAATGCATTTGTCACTTCTTTCAATACCAAGCTTCCACTCGTCTGGTCCCCAGTTATTTATTCTTCGGTGCTGGTGGTCGATTCTTTCTGTCAGGAGTGGTCTCATTTTTTTCTGTCCTTCTCTTTGTCTCCTCCCTCATGTCATTGCCTTGATCCACAACACTCCTTTTCGGGTCCAGTTGGTGGTGTCTCTTTAGCTTGTACAACCCTGGTTTCCAGATCCCCTCTTTCTCTGCCCCATATACCCTCTCTTGCTTCAACTTCATATGTTTGTTTTTCACCCAGAGGTGTTTTTCCTTCATTTTCATATGTGGTATTTGTCAAGTCCATCACTTGCAGGACTGTACTCTCTTTTCGAGTTGCTTTCTTCTTATCCTGTCCCTGTTGTCCTTCAACTTTGCCTGTCTATTAATGGAAGTTACAAGTTTTCGACATTGATCCATTTGCTTCTCCATTCCTCTGATTCATCCTTCTGTGTCCCACCTTTTGGCCTTTTTTACGTTGTTGGTCTCCATGATACCTAGTTATCAGGTGGCTTTGCCAACTACTTTTCACCTTTTCTGTGAAACTAAGTAACCTTTCAAAATTAGGGGATCTGATTATTCCAGTTATCCAAGTAACATAAATATTGCTATTATATTTTTAGTGTAGCACAAAGTTACAAAATGGGTGAGCTGTGCTCTGCCCTCGTTTGGTATTGAAACACAGTTTGTAGATTTATGGATTTTTTATTTTTTTGGGGAGCTATCTCATCAGAATAATCAAATAGTTAGATATAATCAACTAAAAAGCCTGATGATTATTCAGTTACAGTAGCATGTCCAAGTAGCAATTTTTCTAAAGGAAGTATGAAAAAGTAATGTGAAAGTCATTTGACTCATCAATCTCCCCCCTCAACCACATAAAAAAAAAGCAACAAAATAATCATTGATATACAGGTACGTATTTCAGTTTTATTTTAGGCTAAACTTTACAATTTATTGGAGACTTGTTAATTCTTCTTCTCCTTTCCTAGTTTCTTACCGAGTTGACTCGATTGTTCCAAAAAGCACGACATTCTGGATCCGTGTACATAACAATGAAAAGATGTAAGTGAAATTTGGAAAGAAAAATTATGTAAATATACACACACCTATATTTTCATGATGTTTTGTTTCATAAGGTTAATCACAATGTTTTACTAAAGTATGTAATTAAGCAACTTATAATTATCCTAAGATACTTTTATTGAAAATATTATATATGTAAATTAATTTTAAATTAGTACCTTTGTCTGAAAGTTTTTTAATTTCTGTTATTTTTTTGCCAGAGTAATTTATTAATAAGTCAGTTCAAAGGATAATGTTTAAAATTTTGTTTTGAAAATGCAGGAGTTGTATTAAGAAACTTTACATTTGTTTGTGGTTCTCATTATGTTTCAAAGGAGGTGTCTGAACATGAAAAGTTGTTGATACACAAGTCTTTGGCATTTGTCATAGTGTCTTTTGTATGCTGTCATTTTAGGGAGGTCTGGAGTTCTCTTCCTATATGAAATTTTTAATCATCAAAGATGTAATTTTTCCAGTTATTTAAAGGCTAAAGCTATTCAGATTTTCTCAGTATAATTACAAAAGCTGATTGGTTTAAGGACTCAAATAAAAATTGGCAAGAAATTTACTCTAGATTTGTAATAGTAATTTATACAGACAAGTCACTGGTAATCAAATGGAATGATAACAACAAGGTTATAATCCTATAGCTAATTCAGAATAACAAGTGTGACTGATGGAAACTAGCCAGATATTTTTATATTTTATTAATTCTTTAATCCTTTGGATATTATTATGCTGATGTGCATTTATTGTTTTTTATAACACCTAAACTATTGAAAAACACTTACTCAAGTAAAAAAAAAAGAACATATCAGTGAACAAAGCATTGAAGAATTCTTCATCATATACAGTCCCCTAATTATGTTTCAGGTTTTCTCAACTTCAGTTTAATAACAAGTGATAAAGATTTGCATTTTTTCTCAAAACACTATGCTTTGGCCAGAATCAAAACTACTCTAGCATGTAACCAAATAGGATTTATCAAACATATTATTTGAACTTGCCAGGGAAGGTTTTGTATTTTCAGTTTATCTCCTCTGGGATCTGAACATCAACCCACGTGTTTGCCATGCATGGCGACTTGTGAAGGGGAGGAGAGGATCCTGGTAGTTGAGTCTGGGACACTGCAACACACCACTTTGGCCTTGAATTCCTGTAGGTGGGTGGCCCTTTCAGGGTCAGTCGGCTGGTCCTGTTGGGTAAGGGTCAAATGAGTACCAGTGTTAGGCATTCTCAATGACTGTTGTGGCCATTGTGTCTGATGCTGGTGTTTGGGTATAGTGCTCATGATCGATTCTTCAAATCCTAAAAAAAAAGAAATAGTAAAAAAACAGCTACTGGTCGGCCAGCACGTGCTCATCTTGTCTGTGTCACTTGATACACCCTTGGAGGCCATAGCCATCCATGTTTCATTGGGTCATACTGTTTGTTCTCTCTACCTCTACCTGTCTCCTGGAGATACTTATGATCAATCAGACCTTTATGCTTGTTGAACAGTTGTTGTCTCCCTTCTTAGTCCTAGAAAATTTTAATGGATACAATCCCCTTTGGGGTGGTGCTAATATCGATGTGAGGGGTAGTTCCGTAGAGGTATGCTCTTGGATCACAACCTTTCTCTCTTCAATAATGGTCCTTATACTTATTTTCATGCACCTAGTCAGTCTTTTATTGTCATTGATCTATCTCTCTGCTCCCCTTCACTTTTCTTGGAGGGTTGACAATGACCCATGGGGCAATGATAATTTTCCTATCGTTTTGTGGGACATTGGCAGTGGTTAATGCCACCCGACCCAAGTGCCATGGCAGAAGTTGGACTTGGCCAACTGGATCTCTTTCACCTCTCTCTCGGAACTTGATCCTGCTGTTGTGAGTCTTCCATCTATTAACAACTGCATGAAGGTAGTAACTGATTGCTTCATTCAAGCAGCTGTTCATTCTATACCTAAAACCTTGACACGTTTCCCATAGTATCCTCATTCATGGTGGTCTCCAACCTGCCAGCAGGCATGGAAGGCTCAGAAATGGGCCTGGGTTACTTTTCCAGCTGCATCGCTTTCCAGCAGGCTCATGCACATGCTTGGCAGGTCAGACATCAAAGCCAAAAGGAATCTTGGATTAAGTTTGCAACTAGCATCTCTTCTTCCACCAGTTCCAAAGTCATATGGGGCAGAATTTGGAAGGTCAGTGGGAGGTATTCTTCCCATCCCCTTTCCATCTTGCTCTCCAATGGCCAGATACTCTTGGTGAGAGCTTTTCTCATGCATCCAGCACTTCTGTTTCTTCCCCTGCCTTCTTGGCCATTAAGAGGTGGGCAGAGCAATTGCCTCTTTCCTTTCGGGCCAATTGTCTCTATGAGTATGATCACCCCCTAACACTGGTGGAATTCAAACTTGCTCTTCATTGGTCTGGCAGTACATCGGTGGGACCTGATGATGTTCACTATAAGATGCTGCATCATCTCTCTCTCCTACCTCTCTTGCTATTCTTCTGGTTGTTTTTAACCAGATCTGGCAGGAAAATGTTTTTTCCTGATGCTTGGCACCAGGCTATTGTCCTCACTTTCTCTAAGCCTTGGAAGGATCCTAAGATTCCTTCTAATTATTGTCCAATTGCTTTGACTAGCTGTCTCTGTAAGGTCTTAGAGAGGATGTTTAATGCTCATCTTGTTTGGTTCCTTGAATCAAACAACCTCCTCATGCCCACCCAGTGTGGGTTCTATTGACAGTGCTCCACCATGGACCACCTGATTCGACTTGAGACCTCAAGAGGGAAAATCTTGTTTCTGTTTTCCTCGATCTTGAGAAGGCTTATGACATGAAGTGGAGGTACGGCATTTTTGTGAGACCTCCACTCATATAGGTTGTGTAGTCATCCCATTTTTATTCAAAACGTTTTACTCGACAGGTGATTCCAAGCCCATGTGCATTGACACTTTCCCATTCTTTCACACAGGAACATGGAGTCCCTCAGGGCTGTGTCTTGAGTGTCACAGGTTTCAGTATCAAAATCAATGTTATCACTACACAACTTCCTCCTACTGTTTCTAACTGACTCTATGTCGGCAACTCCCACATCTCATGTAGGTCGTCGAACATGAGGTTTATTGAGCAAAAGCTTCAGACTGCCCTCAATCACATTTTCCAAAATCATTTACATGCATTTTTGCCACCAATGGGGTCTATACCCCAATCCTGAGCTTCATCTCTGGGATGTTGTTCTTTCCGTGGTTCCTGAATCAAAGTTCTTGGGGTTTATCTTTGACCATAAGCTTACTTTCATTCCTCATATAAAGCAGCTACGTGTCAAGTGTACAAGGGCACTGAACATCAAACATCTCCGTATCATCTCTTCCACCTCTTGGGGAATCGATTGATGTTCTATTCTCAAGATCTATCATGCCCTTATTTGATCCATACTAGACTATGGGTCTCTAGTCTATGGTTCTGCCAGGACCTCAGCTTTGAAGATGCTCGACCCCATTCACCTTCTGGGGCTTCAGCTCTGCATGGGGACTTTCTGCACTTATTCAGTACAGAGTTTGTACACTGAGTCCCATGAACCTCCTCTTCACCTCCACTGTTTGCAACTTTCTCTACAGTATGCTACCAAGCTTCGATCTTTACCACAGCATCCCACCTGGGATTGTGTCTTCCTTCCTCGGTGGGCTGTGCTCTTTCAGAACAGACAGTCTGCAATTCCTACCTTGGCCTTTGTATCCAGGAACAACTGGCTGAATTGGGTCTTTCATTGAATGACATTGCTGTCCCCAATGATCAGTCCATTCCACCATGGCTTATTACCATCCTTGAATGTGACCTTTCCTTTAGTTATCTGAAGAAGGCAAATACTCCTAATTGGAAGTATCATCTTATCTTTGCTGAACATCTTTTGAACCATTCTTCTATTCCCGTTTATACGGATGGTTCGATATCAGGTGACTCTGTGGGCTCTGCCATGGTTTGTTGTGGCTTGGTGGTTTCTCACAGGATCCCCTCTACAGTTTCAGTGTTCACTGCTGAGTTGTCTGCCATTTCTCTTAACATGTAGAAGCTATGCAATACAGCAATTGCACTATTTACACAGACTCTCTTAGCTCTCTACTGGCCCTGGAATTGCTTAACGTTAGTTTCACCCTGTTCTTGTCAATATTCAACAATGGCTGGCCCATTTTTTACTTTCTTCCATTAGTATATTCAGTTTTTCTGTATACATGGCCATGTTGATATTCATGCGAATGAGCTTCCTGACACCACAGCTAAGTCCGTCTGCTCTGGTGCCATCACAGCCGTGCCTATCTCGTATATGATCTATGGTCCTGTATTGAAGGCTCAGCATTGCGACAGTTGGCTTAGTATGAGCAGTGTCATAAGAAACTTTTCCAGATCATACCTTCTGTTGTTCTTTGGCTGTCTTGTTTCCGTAAGGATCAGAAGGAGGAAATTGTCCTGGCTTGGCTATGCATTGGTCACAGTTTTTTAACTCATTGTTTTTATTTATCTGGGACTGATCCACCAATGTGTGGCCTTTGTGACACTCAAGTCATAATAGAACACGTTTTACTGTCATGCCATTGTTACGACAGTAAGCAGCAGCACCATTTTAGACTTTTCTTTTCTGCAAGTTTACCTCTGACATTGGACAGTGTCATTGGCAATGGTGACACTGTCCAACTTAATTGCATTTTTAACTTTTTAGGAGCCATTGGCCTTTTTAATTCTATTTGTGTCTTTTATGTGACTTTTGGACATTTAGTTTTTAACTTGATTAATATTTACATTTTATAGAATTTTACTTTTATATTTTTACCAGTTGTTTGGCACAGATAGCCTAGTTGCTTTATGCCAACCAACCAAACAACTAAATTTATCCCTGCCTATTTTGATCAGTGTATAAATAATGGTTGAGCTAATCAAGAATAAATTGATGGGCTGCTTTTAGTAGCAAATATTTTACTATTTCTTTCACTGCAGTTAGGTTTATGACACTTATTCTATCAT